CTTTGAAGACGTGAAGCTGGGAGATACCTCACCAGTCGTTGGTTCAGTAGCCGATTTCGGTTCATATTGGGGAGGCTTTGGGTTATCACTATGTGCTGTTGGCGTAATTTCAGTGTCCTTGTTAACAACTGTCGATTCTTGAGGAGAAGGCTTCGATTTCTTCCAGCGGAACCAGCTAGAAAGTTTTGCGAACATTTTCTTTATCTTGTTTATCAAACGTTGAAAGATGTTTGGAGGATTGACATCTACAGTCCCTGTAGGGTCTCCAGTAGGCTTGACATTGGCTGTAACTGGAGCGTCTTCTATGGTCTTGACGTTGTCTGTAACTGGAGTGTCTTCTACGGTCTTCGCGTTCACTGTAGTTGTCGGCTCTTTCGGAGCTCGGGAGGTCTTTTTGTCCTTCAGAACTTCTTCAGCTTTGTAACCTACTTTTGGTCTTGCGTCTGCAGCCCCTTTCAAATCTTCAACAGCTTCCATAACTTTGGCACCTAGTGCTTCTTCTGCATGTGTCGAGATTCCTGCTTTGTTTAGCATCTCTGGTACCTTTTCCGATATTTCGGCCGACTCTGTAAGGCTCACCCTTTCTTCTCTGTCGATCGGTTCAGTAGTATCTTCCTCGGCTTTTAGAGACCTCTCCTTGACACTTTCACCCAGTTCATGAGATTGAAGATGCTCTGGCAGAACGCTAGAAGTGGCCAAATGTGGCTCGGTAGAGGCTATCGCGCTTGCATGGAGGGTGGTAGTAACCAGCAACATGAATACCATTAGACAGCGGCCCATGATGTATGATGAAATGCGGCTTTTGCCTTCGTGAAGGTTAAGAAAAATTGATTATGAGCCTCAGAGATTGCCAATAACCGACCTCTCAAGTGAAGAAGCAAATTTAAGAAGAGCAACTGCATTATATCCGGAAACTGATCGCAGCTCCAGATGGCGACAAGCACTGCTTTGCATTGTGATCAGGTGCACTCTATACTGATATGTGTTCTGACATCAAAAACTTGAGAAATGTATATGCATAGTCTCGTCCATAAACAGTCTGGAACAATTCTGGATGAATCAACTCTCTTTAGATTTGCGACCAGCTTTTGCATGATCTGGATACATTTTCACTTTCATGTCATGTATAAGTTTAGCATTTGGAACCTTTTGCTAATAGAATACAAACCACCGTGCTTATTATATTCGCGATTATGTGGACACGAGGCGCTACACAACTAGTCTTCGGAGATATGCATTTTTTCGTTGCCCTATTGGCAGAACACAGTATCAGTCCGTTCTTGGCGAATCACAGTTACTATCCCGTATCTCTCTTCAAAAACAGAAGAATCCTCATGTTTAGCATCTCTGCGAATAAGATTCGGAACGAATAGCATTTTATCAGAAATTAACGATTCTTCGAATTTGACGGCTGTGTAATCTTAATTTTAAAGATCAAGGAGTCAGATTAGATCTGTGTAGGTCTTTTATAATTTAGAAAACGAAGTACTTTAAACTGTGGCGGTATAATTGAATAGATCATTTGTGCCCGTTTTTGCGGCCCAGCTCATCTCAAATTCTTTTCCCGTCCACATTATTCAGCAGTTGTCCACAATTGAGTCGGTAGATCACTGTGCAAGTAAGATCGATAGTCGAACGTGGTATATCAAAACCATTGAGACTACATCTCATGGTGTCAGTGTTGTGAGCTCGTGGGGTAGGCATTGTAAACATCACGAGTCTCGTCTCGTAAGGCTTCCACAAAGCTCATACCGTCATATGCATTCAATTGAAATCTGCCTAACTAATTCAGCGCTCGAATCTGACTCCGACTGGGCAAGTGCTTGGCTAGCAACGATATTCTGGTCTTGGATGAGACCAATCACATCGCTAGCGAGTAACGAACCTTGAGAAGTAGGGCCGCTCCACGAACTCAAATTGTTGTACGAGGCACGACGCAATATATCGTGGTATCACATCAAACGATATTATAATCTACTTCTTAGGAAAGTTTAATGCGTTTATTATGAGCGTGTATCTTTCGTTCTATTCTGAAGTCAATAGTATCTGTTTTTAGTCCATGTCGAGCGATCTTTTCAAGCATGTGCTGAGGGATAAGCTGTGTGATGACACCATTACACTCATCAGTCTTCAGCCTTTCCGTTCGCAACGATGCTGTTGTTGTGAGTGTGGTAGTCTTATGTAGTCGTCACTATCGGTTGGTCCTACTTGAGATCGCCGCTATCACCACGGCTCGTAGGTATGGTATCTGCAAATAAATGATTTAAACTTGACTGCGCGTCACATTTGCAAGAACAAGTACGAGATATGTAACGGGCATAGCCAACCGAAGTATCAACATTCGTGACGATGATTGGACACCGTAAAGGAGCGGTATTAAGAAGACCATTCATCCAAACGGCGACGAGTTTTTAGTGTTTCCTGACGGCACTACCATGTTGGAACAACCTGATGGCCTGCGCAAAGTAACGCTGCCTAACAAAAGAAAAGTTTTCTATTTTCTGACGGGCAGATGATGGCGTGCACTAATCCGAGCGTCTTGTGGGCGTGAAGATACAGTAATTTACTTTGTAATGAGTTATGATACTGCGTGTAAATTCACTTACCACCTTCATCGCTTTGTAGCGGCTTCAAAGCGAGTTGATTAATTGCAGCTTCGCAATATAATGCAAGGAATAGGCATGTTTTTGTTCATTTCACTCAGATATTCCGTTTGTTAACGAGAACAAACAATTCAGCAAACGACACGGTGCGAATGTCCTTCCTACTCGATGTCGTACGCAATAAACGGCTATTCAATGTGACCCATGTAAGGTGGCAGCTTCGACTTTTATTTAGCAGCCGGACGCGTCTGCACGGAAATTGAAGCGCTGCTCGCGTATATGACTCGCCGCATTCGTAGCTCCGATGTCGGGGATAATCGACTCTATATTCGACCGCAGTATATGGTTGAGGCCACGTCGTATCATTCACAAAAAGTGCCCGCCGCATAGTCGACTGACTAATCTATTGAATGACGACATGACAAGCATAATTCGTTGTTCAAGCAATCGAGAGCATAAAAGTCGCTCGATGTCCTTGTACGAGTATTCAATCCTCAAGAAAGACCTTTAACAGCCTGAAAATGTGCTACACCGTTCTTCGAGTCCAGCAACTGGATACACAGTCGTAATATCGCCCATTTCGATCTCTTGACGCACTAAACCGCGGCCTTTGATCTGAAGCATGGAGATAGCGGAGCTTACAACAGTCGTAAACGTCTCGTTTGTTAGCTAAATATCAATGAAATTTTCGTCTCGTTGCAAAAGACACACGGCAATTCAGCTCGATGCCTCCAACCGACGCCACGAATTCCAGAATCTCATGGAGTTTTCGTGAGATTTAGTGCATGTGAAGCTCACTATCGCTTTTGAAAAAGCCGTAAACTGATGCAGCAAGGATCTACCATGTACACAAGCGATGTCAGTCATAAGCTCTGACTCCTGCCAAAATTTCCGCTTCTTGATAATTAAGTTGTCATGAAAATTTCGTTCGAGGCGACCAAGTCAGCAGACTTCCTTGTAGTAGTTTCGTTTTTTGTGACTTCCTTATACAAGGAAGTTGGCTTAAGGAGTTAAATTAGTGGCGAGCACCACATTCGCCACTGCCTGACGGCGACGTGGAGCAACAACTTAGACGCCTGGATATGTTGTGCATCAATTTGGACTCTGTTTTGGATTTTCAGATCATTCGTATCCATTTTCTTCGTCGATTGTGGTCTTCAAACATATTTAAGCGTTAAAAAGCCGGATGATCCCATTACACTTCTACAGTGTCCATCATCACAGTAAGTCTCGTTTATTTAACGCAGGAATTCTAATCATAATCGTCGTCAAACTAGGAAAAACGGTCGCAATGACGATTGTGAATGCGTCCTTTCGATTAGTATGTCAGTCTTTCAAAGATGCAGACAGCACGGACGAAATTTCGTCTTGGAACGCACGAAGATCCGAATCTTTTGTATTGAGAAGCGCACTCAAGTGTCGTTTAATTCAAGTCTGGTGGAGAAATATGCGTCAGTACGGATCGATGCAATGCATTTTTTTCCGACAGCGTATCTCGCAGTTCGTTCGCACCAAAATTCTAACTCATGTGTGTAGTTTGCACTGATGATGGCAACACCGAATAGACAAGATCAGAAATCAGTTTCAATACTTATCGGATTCGTAGATTTATTCTTCACACGTCAAGTCTAATTTAGCCCTGTAGATCCAATATGATGCACAGTGCTTGACGAATTGTGTACTAATTCTAGTTTGTCTGCTCTTACTCTTGCATGAGGTGTATCTTGTAATCTTAAAGTAAGAATGAAGATGAATATGTCTACACTAAAATACAGCGCACAAACATCATCTTACCGAAGTAAAAGCAGAGTCACGTTCTTCGGCGTTTAAAGACGAGAAGACAGCAGAGTAGTGCCATCCATGATGAAATTCACTGCATGTGAACGCTTCGAGCTGTGACACTGGACGTTTAGCGGTCGAGCTTTGCGAGTGTGTTACAACATCTCAAAACAATCACATGCGGCGTGTTCGTACCCGTTTGTCCCATTGAGATTAATTCAAAAAGTTTAAATAAAGTCGATCTTCCATCACCAATGCTTCAAGACTTGCTTGATTTTATGATGTGTAGAATACCTTTCAAAAGCAAAGAAAGAGTTAGACGTTTATTGAACAAAAGCCTCCTTGTCAACAGACTCATACAAGTTCAGCTCGATGCATTTAAGCGACAACTTTACCTTAAAAGCATACTTCCTCACCTCAAGTGTTGCCGTTTCATGATAGCCGAACTCAGTTGAAGTCGCCGCCACTCTCATCATCGTGCTGGTGAGTGATAGATGCAAGAAACTTTTGCTTGACACTTCAAGTGAAAAAAGATTCGATTCAACGCGACAAGCTGCTCTTCAGCTAACGATCGGAATGTCAGCGTATATGCCCACGTAAGATTGTACGATACTTTCCTCTTGGTTGAATGATAAAGTCGTGAAGATGAGGCCCATGTATCTAGCAGCAATGTAATGGACAGGTTTCAAACACATTTTTTCGAAAAGTCCACGACAACATCGTACATATAACAATCATGTGGTATTCAAACGAATGCGTAACTTTGGCTTCTTTCTCCGCAACCACGTTGGCAGATTTCATGTCATTTGCAAACATCTAAAGTTCCACCAGTAGTAAACTTGCAAGCAAGAAAAGGACATAGGATGGATGAAATGAGCACTTGAAATAGTAACGAGCTTACAGGCGTCCATGTCCTGTGTCAAGCAACGTTTTGCTGACTTTTCTCGAGATGTTATTCCGTTCATAAAGCTACAATATTTACGGCCTTCCAACTACAAAGTGAAAGCAATAATTATTGAGCTCGCATACTTACATGCTACAAATATTTGACAAGAGAATTTATATATCGTAGTTAACAAAAAGATTGCTTCTCAAAAAGATCACAATTTGGACAAATCCCATCACTTTTAATGTTATTGTGATTTTTCGTTCATTTCGAATTACCGTACCATTGTTGCTACCT